CGACTACTCCGGACTCAACCAGCTGTGGCACACCAGAATGGTGGGTGGGTCTCCCAACAAAAACTGCTACGTACACAAGATTTCGAACTCGAGATCTTACTTAAACTGGAATAAGTCGTTTGTCACTTCATCCAACATCTCGTTGGTATAACGAAAAAGTTTTTTTTTATATCCAAAAGCTACATTAAAAAAAATTTTCGATATTCAAAATTTAAATTAAATTTTGATTAATTTAAAATTAAATTATCTTAAATTTTATATAAAAAAAATCTTTTAATAACGCTTACTTTCCCATTTATAAAATTTTAAATTACAATCTTATTAAAAAAAAAAAGTTGAGTTAATCAACAGATTGGTGGTATTATTGATAAGGTAGCACTACATAAATCCAAGTTCTGATCATAAAAGAATGAAAAATCCAAATTCTGCCTACACAAACAACCAATACTTTTCCGACACGTTACTGTCTGGGGGAGGGCGAGTAGGTGTACGCAAACAGTAATTTAAGTCTTATCAATTCAAACAGTAATTTAAGTCTTATCTAGAGCGATTGATCGAGACTCAAATAAATTTTTAAAAATGCTGTAGTGAATCTTTTGTCCTTATTCCCAGGGTCTTTTATTTTATATATATATATATATTACAATATTAGTATAATAAAGTACTGAACAAATCATTTATTAATTTAAATATAAAAAATTTAATTTATTTTAAATAAAATATTAAAAGATATTTTTTATGAGATTTGATGTGTTTTTATTTTGATTAATCAAATTTAATATAATTATTGAATATTATAAAATTTATAAAAATAAAAAACAAAGTATTGAATGAAATAATTTGAAATTAAAATATAATAAAAATATGTAATTTAAATATAAAAATATTAATTTTAAGTTATACACAAAATTTATATTTTTAAACTTATATATTTAATTTTTATTTAATATAAAAATAAATGTTTAATTTTCATACAAAGCACACATTCATTTGCATTGAGCACAAAATCTAAGAAAAACGTCCACAATATCAGATTCGCAACTCACGCGTTAGGGAGATGCAACAAAGTCCTTCGCCTT